TCCATAGAATATTTTAATAATTTGAGCTGCGTCGGATAAAAATCGACCTTATGGAAATGAATATCAATACATCTGTTAACCTATTTCGGGTTGAAAAAAATCTCTATGGAAAGTATGTAACTTTTTGAAAATTGATTTGTTATAAGAACCCTGCAAAACAGACCAAAATGCCTCTTTTATTTCGTGTTTGAATGTTCTAAAATCAATTAAATTCTTAAACATGTACATTTTGTACATGTTTACGTGCTCTTGCATAAGGTCGATTTCTATCCGACGCAGCTCATTTGTAAAAATGTAGTTTATATCATGCATTTTTTCAAAAATATAATAAAAAGAATGGGTCACCGGGCTTTTTTTCACGCTGCAGATTGTGCAAAATTGTCAGATTTTGTATAGATTATGCATGGAAAACCCAATTTTGTTTGATAAAAAGAAAACTGCACCATAGATTTTTAAAGATGGCTCTAACAATATGCTTTCAGTTAAGAAAAAGAAAAAATGGGGTCACCGGACTCGTTTTCTTGTTACATAATAAAAGAGGTAAATTCACAACACATTCTATTGTAAAAATTACTTTATCTGAGTTATCTCCCCTTATGTGGCAAAGTTTGAAAAAAAATGAATCAAACAATAACATTCTGTTTTTTGTGAAATACAGCCGTAAATATGATAAAACACATAATTTTCTATATTAACAAGAAAAGTCTTACACGTGAATTACATACTACTCTCGAAATTTGCACATTTCATGAAAGATCTAGAATAATTGTTGTCTGCTATTTCGAAATCCAAGATGGAGGAAGACACCTAAAAACATATCAAAGATACCAGGCTTATAATTTGGTACGGCGGATGCGCTTTTCGTCTACATACTGTAAGACTCATCAGTGGAGCGTTTCTTCTACATTAGACTCATCATTGGAACTCAAATAAATCCAGTTGCAAAGCCCAATCAAATATTACGAAGTTGAAGAGCATTACCAACCGAAAATTCCAAAATATTATGCCAAATACGGTTGAGGCAATCTATACCTGGAGTAGAAAAACTTTCAGCGTTTTGTAGTATTTTAACATTTTATACACAGTAAATTTACTGAAAATGAACATTACAATGATGTTTAATGTCAGCAAAAAATTGTTGATTACTTGGCTGGTAATGCCCTCTGTGACGAAACGTCCATCAGCAGTGACATCTACCCAGAGGTTGTAAAACACATCTAAGATACCAGGTTTATAATTTGGTACGGCTGATGCGCTTTTAGTCTATAAACTGTAAGACTCACCAGTGGAGTGTTTCGTCTACATTAGACTCAACACTGGCACTCAAATAAACCCAGTTGCAAAGTCAAATCAAATTTTACGAATTTGAAGAGCATTAACAACCGAAAATTCCAAAAAGTTGTGTCAAATACGGTTGAGGCCATCTATACCTGGGGGTAGAAAATCTTTTAGCGTTTTTTTTTAGTATTTTAACATTTTATAAACAGTAAATTTACTGAAAAGGAACATAACAATGAGGTTTCATGTGCTGACTACTTGGCTGATGATGCCCTCTGTGACGAAACGTCCATCAGCAGTGACATCTGCCGAATGGTTGGAAAATCACATCAAAGATACCAGGCTTATAATTTGGTACGGCGGATGCGCTTTTCGTCTACAAACTGTAAGACTCATCAATGGAGTGTTCTGTATGAATTATAGCAGATTCATTCAATGTGTTTCCCTTAGTGTAGGTTACTTGTTCACGCCAAGATATTTCATTGATGGTAGAAATAGTAGTTTGATGTCTTTTAGGATGTTATCAAACTTTACATTGTTCCTCTTCCTGCTAAGTGTCATTATATTATATAAGGCTGATGGGAATCTCATTACCTAAATTGTAGTCCAATTTCCTAGTCTGTCCATGTCTTCCTGTTAATTTTTTCAATCTTTGATGGTTGCTTTCTCTGTAGCAAACGCAGTCACCGCAAATGGTCTGATATCGAATGAAATATTTTCAGAGTTGTCGTTGATGTGTACCAGAAATAATGTTGGTCCCAATATGGTGCCTTGTGGGACTCCAGAGAGCACTGGTGATGTTCACGGCTTGAATTGCAACCATTAATTTCACCATTTACAACTACGCATTACATTTGATATGTCTTCTGCATTAGGAATGAGTCTATCCTATGTAATATGTTTGTCCGTACTCCATATCTACTGAGCTTATATTTTAGAAGTTCCTCACAAAAGACAAAGTATTACCATCGACATAATTATAAAGGGAGCTGTGTATCATGTGGAATTCCATATGACTGTCATACAAGTGAGAGGTTTAGCTAGCTATAAAACCAGGTTTAATCCACCATTTTCTACGTAAGTAATGACTGTACCAAGTCAGGAATGTGACAGTTGTTTTCCATTCGTTTTATGTGTTTGAGCTTTTGATTTTGCCATTTGATAAGGGACTTTCCGATTTGAATTTTCCTTTGAGTTCGGTATTTTTGTTATTTTACATTTTTTACAAAGAAAATCAGTATACATTGATTATGGTTCATAAGTGTTTCCCGTTTTTTATATAGATTAGACCGTTGGTTTTCCTGTTTGAATTGTTTTACACTAGTCATTTTGGGGCCCTATATAGCTTGCTGTTCGGTGTGAGCCAAGGCTCCGTGTTGAAGGCCGTATTTTGACCTATAATTGTTTACTTTTTACACATTGTGACTTGGATGGAGAGTTGTCTCATTGGCACTCATACCACATCTTCTTATTTATATGTATATAATCTATAGACGTTTCTCTATATATATATATATATGATCAGTGAACGTTATTGATAGTAAACTAGTAATTGATACTAAGTAATAAATAGTAACTGTATATGCATTAAAAAAAAAGTAAAATTACAAAAATACCGAACTCCGAGGAAAATTCTAAACGGAAAGTCCCTAAGTAAATGGAAAATTCAAAAGGTCAAATACATCAAACGAATGGATAACAACTGTCATATTCCTGACTTGGCACAGGATATTTCTGCATATTATTTCTGGTATATTTATGTTAATATATCACATAAAAACGTGAAAATAGTTTAAATTAAAAGAAAACAACAAAATAACGGATTTTGAGAAATAAGGAAAGTGTTAAAAAAAATTGTCCTGCCCTTAAGTACCTATGGATCATACCCTCAAGTGGTATGATATATTTAGTAATGCCCCTCCCCCCTTTTTCCCCTTAAATGCACTATTCTCGTGTGAATTTGTTAAATAATTGTTTCAAGTCTTACATAAGAAACCCGAGACTATTTATCTATGTCTAACTTAAAGGCATGCACTTTCCTGCAATATGAGTTTGAAGAGCTTCCGAAAACAAGAGGCTACCAAGAGCCTGAAACGCTCACCTGGTTAAAAAAAATGCCTATTTGATATTAATATTTGTTTTCATTATTACTATCAGTTATGTTTGCTTATTTGTAGGTCATATATTGTGGCATTCTTGTAGGTCTGGCACTAATGATCATAATTTACTGTTTACAGTTTATGCCTATCTTTTAATTTTTTTTAAATTAAAAAAATCATTTAATTAATGGCAATAAATCATATAACTAGTGTGATAATTTAGTCATGTTGACTTTCTTGCAGATCTTATTTTGCCGATCTTTTTTCACGTATTTAAAGTTTCAGACCTATAATTTTGACAAAAATTCAAAAATGGATAAAAATCATCAATCAGGGGAAATAAATTCTATAAGGAGTCAGTTGACAATTTCAGATACGATGACTGATTTGTAGATCTTTCCTAGTGTGTTGAACATTCTTGCTATATACTGTTGCTCTCTCTCTATCTTTGTTTTAGCATACAATGGGTAAAAATTGTCATTCAAGAGCAACAACTCATAAAAGGATTCAGTTGACAATTTTGGCTATGTTGACTTATTTGTAGATCTGATTGTGCCTAACATTGCTAGTTACAATTTCTCTCTGCCTTTAAAGTTTCTGCAATAAAATGAAAAAAGGATATAAACCATCTTTCAAGGGTAATAACTCCTATAAGCAATCAATTGACAATTTCGGCAAAGTTGACTTATTTGTAGATCTTATTTTGCTAAACACGTTTGCTTTTTACAATTTCTCTTTATTAATGATAGTTTCTGCAAAAAAAGCAAAACATGAGTATACTTAGTCTTTCAAGGGCAATAACTCCTATAAGGGTTCTATTGATGATTCATCCATGTTGGCTTATTTGTAGATCATTCTGTTGAACATTTTTACTATTAAACGATTCTCTCCATCAACTATAAAAATCCAAAGAGAGTACACATCACAATGTAAAGGCAATAACTCCTATTAGGGCTCATTTGACAAATACCAACAACTGCGAAATTTGCTAAGATTTTATATTTAAGGGGCAATAACTCATAATTGGGTCGTCGGAATTTTCTTCACATTCCACAGGAGATAAACCTTGGCCCCTGCTGATCACTGAGATTTACCCGTGTCAGATTTGCTCCGAGTTACTTCTTAAATTTTAAAAAAATTAACCAGAAACTCGTCCGATTTTCTGCAAATTCCGCATGAGATAGGATTAACCTGCTGATAAATTTTCCCTGTGTCACATTTGCTTTTACTGGTCAAATTAGTTTTTGAGATATAAGCAAATAACAGCATTTTTTCCCGTATGCTTTATTTTTAGCCATGGCTGTCATGTTCTTTATATTCAGTCCATGTTTGATTGAAATTAGTCCAGTGGTTACAGATGAAAAGATCTTTGAAAAAAACTCATTCCGTTGACGGACGGGTGGACGGAAAACTGACGACGGACACACTCACATGGCCTTTTACGAAAGATGAGCTAAAATTGTTTCATACATTTTTGCAAGGATTTTTATAGTACTTTTAAAATCGTTGATTTTACTCCAAAAAAAATAATAATTTATCAGTTAATACAGTTACTTTAGAACGTTGAAAATTACATGAGAATACGAAAATATAAGCATACGTTTTATTAGTAGCTTTGCATCAATGGCGACGCCCATGTAAACCGGAAGCGGTGAATTGTTTCATCACATTGCTTGGAGAACTGTGTGTTTGTTTGTTGTCTTAACAGAAATTGGATAAGTATGTATCTTTTACAAAAACGAATACAATATCTATTGCATAAAATCAGAGGAATGGAGACATTTACTACCGTTTTAGTCCGTTACATGTAGCCAACAATCAAGTTGCAATCCAAAACGAAACTACTGGTTTTTACATGATTTGAACACTTTTAATTGTATGTTAAGATAACACTTTTAACTTAGGTCACAGTATAAATTTAATTGCTTTAGGTGTAAGTGTTGACAATAATCAATCAGATCACAGTCACGTCTCGGTCCTTACAGCTGAATGTGCTGGATCAGCTCCTGTTTATCCGTAAACTACAACATGTTATACTGCTCAGATGGTTCAACGACAAACTAGTTTATGAGACACCATACAGTAGGCCCGCGTTAGCAATACTCTGAAACCCATTGTGGATGGGGGAGTGTCATATGCTGCCCAGACGTCCGAGGGCATGCTGTATCGTAGTTAAGTGCAGTAGCACACATTTTCACTCTACAATGTACATGCCCTTAAATGTTAATTGAATTGACATGAATTAGGCCGATAGTTTTCTTGTTTGAATTGTTTCACATTTTTCTTGTTGGGGCCTTTTATAGCTGACTATACATTATGTTTTTTTTTATTATTGAAGGCCATACAGTGACCTATATTTGCATATATTCACGTCATTTTTACTCGGGTGGATAGTTGTCTCATTGGCAATCCTATAACATCTTTTTATTTTGAAAATAACAGAAAACATCTAGTTTTTATGTTTCATTTTCTTTCACAGGTACAACTTAGGAATGGCAAATCCATTAGCAGGATTGGCAGTGGTTGGTGTAGGATTAGCCTTGCTGATGAATTTTTCCATTCATAAGATTGAAGAAGGTATAAAATTTATGATGAAACAGTAAAGCAAGGTTAACATTCATTCATCATCACAAGCAGCTCCAGTTGAAGCATACTATGTTCCTGATCTAATTATATTAAAATAATACAAATAAAATAATAAACAACCTTTCTATTATTCTTTGTATAGTTCATACTTTTCTGACCAATTGTTTATTTTCAATAAAAAATGTGTCCAGATATCCACAAGTCCTATTGGATGCAGATACATCTTATTATGTAGTGTATGTACCTTCACAAACCTCTGTTTTTTTAAATAATACATAAAAAGGAATTATCAAAAATACTGTAAAAAAAAATGGACCAACACCAATACCAAACATCCGACTTCTTTGAAAAAATGGAATTATTGACAGAAACAAAAACACATGGCAGCAAATGTCGTCGAATTAAACCAGTGTTTCTTTCTCGAGAGTCTCCCTCTTTATAAAAATGAGATGTGGTATGATTGCTAAATGAGACAGCTATCCACCAGAGTCAAAATAACGTAGATGTAAGTAACTAAAGTTCACTATACTGCCAATATAGACCATATATGTCGTAAAAGAAAAACACACAGAGCAGTCCAGCTACAGACATGGCGTCCACTACATTACATCCTGTGAAGCTGTATGGGTAAGTTGACATTAGAAATGCTTAACAGGGATCACTACCTATATTAAGATTTCAACAATCATTATTGAGGATTATTATGTATAGGAATGATTGAGGTTGTGGTTTAATGTGGTACATTGTATTATTCTATTTTCAGGACATGTTGGTGTGTATTATAGGGTGAGTCAGTAGATAAATTGACAGTAAGGTACAGTAAAGATTAAAGGCCTTGATGGTGCATGTGACATTAGTCAGTTTGAATAATAGGAAATAAAAATAATTTATACCAATATATTTGGCGATTAAGCGCTTAGTGTTTCATCTTGACATTTTGTGGTAGTCTTCATTAATACTAAAAGAACGTACAGCTTCAATCAGCATTGAGGAAAACTTATTGGATTTAATATAAATTCACAGAATAACTTTCATTGAAATCTATATTTGGTGATATTAACATAAAAATATATAAAGTAATAAATAGATTAAATGTAATAGTTTGATGATTATTGTCATTAGTTGTCCTACATGTATATTGAATTTTATGTGATTTATTATAAGGATCATAAATTGTAACACATAAACAGTTACGGGACAAACAAACCACTTTAAAATGAAACTAGCTGCCAATAAACCCACAGCCTATTAAAGGTTAGAGTAAATAAAAATGTTAAAGAAAAAATAGTAATAAGTGGGCTTAATTGACAGTTGTTATCATGAGTCCAGCTGGCAGATGTGCCTTAATCAAAGGGATAGTTGTGTATTTTCAGTATATCCCAATGTTCATGTTAGTTGACTTGTATTACTGTTTTCATACTGTCTAAGTGGGACCTTGTGGTACATTGAAATGATTCTAGTGGTCCAGGATTCAACATCCACTAATTATGATATGATATTGGTAATTGTAGGGAGGTGCTCTACTGACGACTACCAGTGCGCCAGGATTTCATTTTATGGTTCCATTCATTACATCTTTTAAAGCTGTACAGGTAAGTTGTTTTAAAGTGTACAGGTAAGTTGTTTTAAAGTGTACAGGTAAGTTGAGGTTAGAAATAATTAACAATAGATCAGTGTATATACTATAAATTAGGATTCTGTGTTAGACAAAAGTTTATCCTTCAGAGCAGGGGGATATAACAATGTATTCTTTTTACACCTGTCTGTCCATCATATTTTTCTCTGGAATTACAAACCAGAGATTCCTGAATTTCAGTACCAGGCTTTATGTGAGCATGCTATACTGTTTGATGCTTTTTCAAATTCATCGCTCAGCAACTTCCTGTGTACTGAATACTTATATTTTCCAAAAAATAACAGCCGTTGTGTGATATTTTAGTTGCATTTTTCTAGAGAACTACAAATAAGAGCTGCATGAAATTTGTAATGAAGCTTCATGTGAACATGCAATGCCATGCAGTGCAATTTCATATGCATTGCACTTTAACTTCATATTAACTGAAGACTTTAAAGAGGGGTATCATAAGTGAGGAACAACTCTTTAATTCGTTTTCTTTAAAAACTGTAGCTTAACATTGTTAATCTTGAACACACTAGTTTTAAAATGTTTATGTTGAAATCTGTGGTATTAAATTGTTTGTCTTTGAAGACTGTAGCATTACATTGTTTTTCTTAAAGACATTACAATGTTTATTTGTAGACATAACATTGCTCATCTTGAAGACATTAAATTGTTTGTCTTAAAGACATTACATTGTTTATTTGTAGACATAATATTGCTTATCTTGAAGAAATTAAATTGTTTGTCTTAAAGACATTACAATGTTTATTTGTAGACATAACATTGCTTATCTTGAAGACATTAAATTGTTTGTCCTAAAGACATTACAATGTTTATTTGTAGACATAACATTGCTTATCTTGAAGACATTAAATTGTTTGTCCTAAAGACATTACATTGTTTATTTGTAGACATAACATTGCTTATCTTGAAGACATTAAATTGTTTGTCTTAAAGACATTACAATGTTTATTTGCAGACATTACATTGTTTGTCTTAAAGACATTACATTGTTTTTCTTAACGACATTACATTGTTTATCTTAAAGACATTACAATGTTTATTTGTAGACAACACTACAGACAGATGAAGTAAAGAATGTTCCTTGTGGTACTAGGTAGGCCTTTGTTATATATAAATATAATTAAAATATTTCACAAATAAGATTGATAAAATTACACCATGAACTAAAGTATAACTGTAATAAATTACTAATGCAAATTGAGAAAGGAATTCCTTAACAATACACAGAAAGGTTAACAGGAATTGTTTCACTGTAATTTGGCATGAAATTTATCTGTATTTTACAATAAAGCGTCTAAAAAGGGGAACACATGCATATTGTGTAGTAATTAAAAACACAAGTTTATCTTGTGGAAAAAATTTTCTTTTGAAATTGAATTTCTATCTTTTGTTTAATTATTCTTCAAACAGAGATCCACGGATTTACGTTTCAGAAACATTTTTTTTGTATTTTTGAAACAGCAATCCAAGAATTTATGTATTCAAGGAAATATCTTTCTTGCTCTATTGATTGTGATTTAAAAATTCAGGCATACTCTTTCAACTTTAGACAATTAAGTTGTTTCTACAGATTAAATGTTCAGTTTGAAACAAAAATTCGAATATTTATGATAAATATAAGGTTTTCGATCAACTACCTTTGATTGTTAGTCCAAGTATTTCAAAAATCACATTCTGAAGATTTTTGTCTATATTGACCTTCTAAAGTCAAGACTGGTATACATTTTTAGCCAGAACTCGTATTTTCTTCTGGCTAAGCTGGGATGGTGTGTATGTCTAGTGAGGCCCAATCTCCATGTATGCATTAGTGTAATATTTGTTGTTGGAAATGACTTCTGTTATTTTATGGCATCAAACTTGTTAACTTTTTTCATGTTTAATATTTTCAGTGGTGGTGTTATTATTTTCTTTGATCGAGTTGAAGTGGTTAACAAACTGAATATAGATTCTGTTTATGACATTGTAAGGAATTACACTGCAGATTACGACAAAACTCTCATCTACAACAAAGTACATCACGAGTTGAACCAGTTCTGTAGTATACACACCTTGCAGGAAGTCTACATAGATTTATTCGGTAGGTATAATTGTATGGGCCATAAGGTAAGGACAGAGTAAATGAAAAAAAATTTCTTCATTGTTCATTAGCGCTGTTGTGTAAACAATAAATAAGAAGTAACCATAACTTAGTAGGTAAAAGTGTGTTGGTCAGGACAGGGAATAAGCTTAGATTTTAACTTGATTTTTATTAGGGCCCCGCCGAATTGCGTCCGTAACACAAATCGTGTCCGCTCTATATCTAGAGAACCGTTATGATTTCAAAGTTTATACTTGACATGTATATTAACCAACACCAGAGGGTGTGTCATAATGTATGTTCAACTTCCTAGGTCAAAGGTCGAGGTCAAAAACTTTGGTTTAAGTTGACTACCCCATGTCCTATGGTAAAATTGTGTCTGCTCTATATCTTGAGAAACTTTATGATTTCAAAGATTATACTTGATATGTATATTAACCAACACCAGAGGGTGTGTCATAATGTATGTACAACTTCCTAGGTCAAAGGTCAAGGTCAAAAACTTTGGTTTTAGTTGACAACCCCATGTCCTATGGTAAATATTGTGTCCGCTTTATATCTTGAGAACCATTATGATTTCAAAGTTTATACTTGATATGTATATAAACCAACACCAGAGGGTGTGTCATAATTTATGTACAACTTCCTAGGTCAAAGGTCAAGGTCAAAAACTTTTGTTTCATTTGACAACCCCATGTCCAATGATAAAGATACAAATTTTTTACCACACATTATTCACAGCGGGGCCCACAGAGATGGCTCCCATCTCAATGATATCTAGTTTCATTTATATTCATATTAACAATATTTTGTTTACCAGTATATTAAATGACTTCTCTCTGTACCATCATACTTTGGTATATACCAGAGATTGATCCAGTAAATGATAAAAATGAAAACATACATGTTGTAATGAAATTAATAATAAATTTTATTTCTGTACAGATCAGATAGATGAGAATCTACGTACAGCCCTGCAGGGGGATTTAGGAAACATGGCACCAGGTTTATCTGTACAAGCAGTTCGAGTCACAAAACCTAAAATTCCAGAACAGATCAGAAAAAATTATGAATCTATGTAAGTGTTTATCATAAGAGCAGTAAAAAAATTGCTACATTTGTGTTTACATTTGATCAAGGATATATTATTTATGATCTTGCAAGAATATTACATGGGAATATAGTTTGTTCATCTTTACAAAATACAAATTGTCCACATATTTTTTTGCAAGACCTAAGAGCCTTGAGTTGATTTTTATGCTCCAGCCATAGCTGAGGGGGCATTAAATTTTACCCTTGTCCATCTGTACGTCCGTACTTCCTGAAGCTGAATTTTTCGTTTCCGTTCTCTAACTTTAGTTTGCTTCAACCAAATGTTATGAATCGTATACACAATGCTTATTACCACAAAACACAGATCAAGTTTGAATTTTGGTGGCATCACTTTTACCTTTCTAGAGTTATGCCCCTTTACAAATGGAAAAATTGCTGAATTTTTCGTTTCCATTTTCTAACAAGTTTGCCTCAACCAAATTTTATGAAACTTATACACAATGCTTATTACCACAAAACTCAGATCAAGTACGTGATTGGGTAGCATCACTTTTACCCTTCTTGAGTTATGTCCCTTTATAACATTATATGCAAGCAGGGGCATCATCTGCCCCATTTATTTTGTATGAACTTGATGCATCTTGTAACAGATTTTCTTTTCCAAAATCTTCAACAATTCAAAGCAATTATTGTTTTCTGCACTTGTTTCTCATTTCCAAGTTGTTTTTGTTTGATTGCTGCTGTATAATTGGTAATCATAATTCATGTTTTTTGCACTGTGTGAAATATATTTAACAAAATCGTGTCCTTTTCTTAAAAATTTATTAAGAGTTTGTAAATACCCGGTAATCTTCAGAATTGCTGTAATTTTTATTCCGAGCTTTGACATTTCTGTCATTTGGAAACATATTTTGAAAATAATGGCTTATATTTGATTTCAGGGAAGGAGAGAAAACAAAGCTACTTATTTCTGTTCAAAAACAGAAAGTAGTTGAGAAAGAGGCAGAAACAGAGAGGAAAAGAGCTGTTATAGGTAGGTACAAAAAGTAATTCAGTAATTGAATTCCCAGTCTGATGGTTGAGGGTAAATTTTACTTAGGCAAACCAGAATATATCTAGTAACATGGTCATTGTAAGACAGAAGTCTGAAGTAATGGTGTATCATTTCAACAAAGTTTAAAAGAACAGTTTTCATGAGAAAAACATGAAATGGACATTCTTATTCCAAATTTTTATGGTCTAGTGATCACTTATTTGAAGTCATGCATGGATTAAATCGTTACTGGATTTATAGTTTTAATTCTACTGGTGTAACTCTGCTATATTCCCATGTTTTAGCTCACTTGTAAATTATAACTGATATAACTATAACAGGTGAGAATATTAATCTTCCTCTATATTGTCTCTATTTAATCATTTCTCTTACAGAAACTCTTTCAATTAGGAACTATTGGTTTAATATTGCTAATATTGTATTAAACAAGATTTTTTGACACTTTACAGAGGCAGAAAAAGTTGCTCAGGTATCCAAAATTCAGTGGCAGCAAAAAATAACTGAGAAAGAATCACAAAAGAAGATATCAGAAATAGAAGGTATGATTGAAAGGAAATATTAGAAAATGGTCATCGTTATAGCAACACAGTTACATAAGTGTACCAAGGAAATTGTGTTACTACATCAATTCCTTGTTAAATGGCATTGCAGTTAATTAGCAATTTAAATCTTAAAATTACAGTTATTAGGATAGCTTATAAATGGAAATGTTTTTAATTCTGTAATTTGAAAAAAAAATGATATGTTTTAATATATTACAAAAGAAATGCTTTCGAAATAAAATGACATCCAAAATAAATAAAAAATCAGTGAAATTTTTGCTGATAGTCATAGTATGATGACAAAATATTATAGCTAATTTCCTAATGCTTGTAGAGTAAGATTTTGGTTGGCTTGTTTGCTTTGTATAAAGGTTTGCTCGAGTATTGTAATAATTAAGATTGATAACTGCAAACAATAGAAATATCTTAATTATTACAATACTTGAGAAACGTATTTACAAACAAAGCAAGCAAGCCAACTTAAGTCTCACTCTACAAGCATTAGGAAATTAGCTCTAATAAATTCAGATCATATCTCATAGATACTGTGGTAGGAGATACCTGGTTGTTATATTTTCAATCATATTGCAATACATGTGTTGTACTGGCAATACTGTTAATTCAGACTTTCATTAGGTTATATATTTATATTGGAAATCTTTCACAACTGCTTATTATTCAACATTTATTAATGTGATTCCAGTGCATGTTTATTGAGATATTACTAGAGGGGAATATTAAGGAACCAGCACTAGCCAATGTTTCTCCCTTCCAAATTGAAATATATGAACATCACATCAGGCGGAAATTTTACATTCTCTAATGCTCTTATGGGTTGAAATAATGATACATTTACAACCCTGACCTGAACGATTGAACAACATTCATTGTACTATTTTTAGATGCTACCCATTTAGCTAAAGAAAGAGCCAGAGCAGATGCTGAATTCTATAGAGCAAAGAAAGAAGCAGAGGCTAATTCAGTATGTATCAAATAATTAACAAGGAATAATTGCTGTATAAGAGGGAAAAAAAGCAGCATGGTTGACCCAGTCGAATTTTATCATTTTGTCATTTAAATCACTAAAATTTTAAACTGCTTCATTCCACAAATCTTTATTAAATGTAATACTAAAATAGATTTAAAAAGTGCATGTAGTTCATGCAGTTAAACTGTTGATACAGGTTTGTTTATGCAGTGACTTTTAGTATGAATTTGACAGTTTGAAAATATTACCTGGACTTTCAAATTCTCCAAAAATTACCGAAATTGCATGAAAAAATTTCCAGATCCTTGGGACACATATGCCTTTTTGAAGCCATACTCAGTAGTTTATGGGTACATGTATGCCCTCTACTAAGCCATGCTCAGTAGTTGTCTTAATAGATACACATATGCTCTCTATAGTAATTTTAATTTCCAGCATTTTATGGGAGATATTGGACTTTGATATTTTTAGACAATTGTACCACAATGACTTCAAGTTTGGCTTATTGAATAACAGCAACAAATACAAAAGCTTGAAATACTCTTTATTATGTAACCTATGTTACTATTATACAACTCTATACTCAACACTCAATTCAATTCCTCATTTACACAGCGACTCGGGACATTGGCTATGGTGTAGCAATTTTGTTTGTAATATTTCTAAATATGGCAATATTGTTTTGAAACTAAATGTAGTTAGAAAACAAACTTGTTTGAATTTATAGGCTAAACTTACTGACCAGTACCTAGAGATGTTACGTTACCAAGCCATTACTACCAATACAAAGATATACTTTGGTAATAGCATTCCTCAGATGTTTATGGATCCAAGTGGAGTTGTCCAAACTTCTCAAGTAAAGGGTACTGCATCAAAAGTTTCTGAAAATAGTGAGTAAACTTTTACCTACATTCATGAAAGTTTTGAAAACTGTATATTATAACATGAAAGGGTATAGAGTGGGGTGCCCATATTCACCCTATAAACCATTCATTTTCACCTACTGGCAATCTTAAATTCAAACTTCGGCAACTTATTATGCAATTTTCTTAAAGTTAACTAGTAAACTTACACGCTTGATGAAGGATTATCCTCAAGACATTTGTTTTTAGGTCTACAGATTAAAGCAAACTTGAAATGAAATTAAGTATTTCGAATACCATAGGGTAATCTATGACTAGAAAATATTCTTCAACCATGTTATATTTAACAACATGTAAATGTGTGCAATTTGTCAGAAGCCATTTATGCACAATACGGATAGAAAACTGACATAAAATATTTGCACACTCAATGTGCATGCATATTTTACCAGAGATTTTTAATATTTCCATTTAACAGATTACATAAACACTCTGAGCTGCATTTTTTTTTCAAAAGAAGCGCCTGCATATATTTCAAATAAATAAATGAACTGTTCAGGAGGACTTCAACAGACATGAAAAGAAAGGAATTTACAGTTAAAAGTTGAATTATATTATTTGTGAATACAAAAAGATTTTTTTATTCATTGAGCAGAAGAAAGCTAAATATATTTGAATCATTATTAATGACATGATTGAAACTATACAGAATTTCTGATGTGTAATAATAGGGTCTGAAAATTTGCAAAATGAAATTAGTTGATGTTTGACATTTTCGCCTTTGATTTACCGAATATTTTGTTCATACTGTCAAAATTTATGAAGCATCTTATGTTGAGGGAGTTTCAAGTTAAGAAGGAGTGTGTTCATTCATGATGCTTTATTGCTTTGCTTTCCAGTGAAAACATCACTATTTTAACATTGATACATTTATTTTGGCAAGTTTACTCTCGTTTACCTTCGAAACGTTTGAATACATTCAGTGCATATGAATTGTTGATATGGACACTGTTCAAGCAAACAAATATTGAACTTCTATCTTGGCATGCATTGAGAAAAAGCACAATACTTTTCCAGAGAAAATTGGAAAACAGCCAAAATATGTCTACGGCGAATATGAGCCACCCATTCTATATTAAGTTATTGAGATTTAAGATACAGCATTGACTTCAAAGTGGAAACAGCCAGACAATTGATAATTCTTATTTTCATCCAACTTGAACAGAGTGTTTTAATTTGATGCTGTCTTTCAATCAGTTGCTAAAGTAATGGAACAGAAGTAGCATTTATCAAGTTGTTATTGTAGCTATAAATTACATTTTAGCTCACCTGGCCAGGAGGGCCACGTGAGCTATAACCATCACTTGGTGTTAGTCATTGTCAGTTGTCCTTGTTAACTTTTACAAAAATCTTCTCCTCTGAAACCACTTGACCAATTTCTATCAAACTTTAAATGAATGATCCTCAGGGTATCTAGACTAAAGTAATAGAAAGGTAGAAACTGAAATTAGAAAAAAAAAATGATCATCAATTCAAGATCTACAAAAATACCAATATGACCAAATCCATTGGATAACTGTATATGAGCTATTGCCCTTAAATGGTGATTTTTGACTACTTTTCAAGTTTTTGCCTTTTACATGTATTATTTCATTTTTTGACAGGGAAGCTATTCAGGCTCTTAGGAGCCCTTTGTCAATTTTATATATGCTCTAAGTGATTGGTAAAGAAAATCTTTACTTATATTTCGTCTTCATTCTGATATAAAAAAATTGATATTAAAAACTGAAATGTTCTTTTTCTTTCAGAATAAAATCTTTAGAAGAAGACAATCATCTGTGATACCAACTAATAGAACCAAAACTGAAATGTCATTTCAAAAAGTAGAACTGAAATGGAAATGTCATAACTTAGAATTTAACCAAAATATAAAACCTTACAAAAAAATGAGACTAAAGCAAAATGCAATTTGTGATTTCAAGATGTTGATACTTAAATCAATTTAACTTTTTTAGGATTGACATATTCCAGTGTTTCACTATTCTCATATCTTTTTGTGCCATTTGAATTTTGTTTATAAAGTTATAATGACTTATTGAAATACACCAGACATTATCCCTCATACTGTAAGTTTTAATAAAGTAAATAATTGGACAGCACTAAAAGTTTTTTTAATATTGAGTTTGCAATCATACCTCAATTCAAGCTAAAGTATGTTGCTAAATTTTTTATTTAAAAAGTATTACATATGAAATACAAAATTGCATACTTTAGGTTTTATTATTATAGTTTCTTTCAGTTTTTTAAATAATTGATTGTTGTTGAAAATGATAAATTAATTCCAACTTATTTTCAGTCTGACCTTCTTCTGTTTTCATGTCAGAAGTGGCTTATTGTTTTCAAAAATTGTAAAGTAAATATTTAGAACATAACATTCATGTGTATACAATAAATTTTGTTAATTAAATTTTCATGTAATGTTTCAAATTATGTTCAAACAACAAACAGTTGTGAAAAATATTCTGTAACTTTAATTTTTAGCAGGTTTTAAATATTTTGTGCAGAACAGATGAGGCATTCAAACAAGTTTGACACACTGTTTCAAAATTTTGAAGGTTTGTTGGTCTTTTGAATTGTGTACACAATATTGTAAACTTATATGTAATCACATTCTTCATGCATATATATATATAATGCTAAAGGTGTAATTGGAAATCTCTAAAATTTAATGTTATTGAATGTCTTTTATATTTTTTGTACAATAATTTCTTACATACCATAATGACAAAAGTGCCTTTGTACGATTACTGTTGTTGAGATTGTCAGATATTTATACAGTTGTGATTACCTGTATGTTAAATGTATGTCATCTGCAATCAAAATATATACTTTGCTCTAATGTTGGAATAAGCAAAAATTATCTGAGCAAGACCTTTCATCAAAGTGTTTAAAAGATAATATGTATATTGTTTATGTGAATTATCTTAGCTGTTAAAAGAATCCAAGAACACTACTTGGGGATGTTCATAAAGGAATATCATCTAAAAGGGAGATACTCAAATTTACTTGCATCAGTATTGTGGGACATTGGGTATCTTTTTGGGTGTTCATTCACACTTCTAGTTTTCATTGAGTTTGTGGTTTATCAGAACCTCAACTATAGCTACCCAACTAAATGCATATTCCTATTAATTGTTGAATATAAAGCCTAAAACTACATATAAAATAATCCTTTAACCAATGAATATTTTCAGGAACCATGAAAATTAGAATCAACGAATAGAATTAGTATAATGTTTATTAAGCATTCATAGTCAAATGAAAAAATATTTTTATTCTATGAATGTTAATAAATATGTTTAATCTGAAATTACATTAAGTTCAAGTTTTGTTTAGTTTTAGCTAGAAATTTTAACAAAAATAATTGTCAATAGTTTGGGATTTCCCAATGTATTTTGTATAAAGGATCCTTGTAGAATGATTCTAAAACATACTTGAAAAAAAAATAATATTATTTTATACATTGTTTATATGATTTTTGTGATCTCATTCATTAAACCAAGAGTTGTGATGGGGTTGTTATTGTATCTTAGAAGCTTATATATACTAGTTTAATCAACAGAAGTGACTGAAGTTTTCTGATGGGAATTTTTCTTACTTGCATTAGGAAGTATTGAAAAGAGAGTATACTAAAGTTAAATACCATGTTTCATGTGTCAAAACTATCAACAGTATCAACACACACCAGAAACTAAATAGCAAGGGTCATGTGTCACCACTGTATCAACAAAATTGGAACCAGCTACTTAATAGCAAGTGTCATGTCTTACCACTGTGTATTAACTTACATTTAGTAATAAAAAGTATGACATGTGTCACCCCTGCATATCAACTTGCATGGTATTAGATAGAATGTGTTATGAGCATGTGTCATGTGTAATCATTGTTTCAAATTACACAAGCTACAATGATTGTGTTAGGCAAGTAACACATTATGGTGGCAGCAGTTCTCACATTTTGGTGGCAGCGGTGGCATGAATAAATACATTTTTATATATGGTACTAATATTATAGCCAATGGCATATGACATTCATAAAGGTTAGGTGATGATCAGTTTATCTGCACTACTAGTATTTACTGTCACAAACATCATTTGTCAAACTCGTTCTGTTGGATATAACTCAGCAGCTCATCAATCATTATATATCATACTCTTATGTAAGCAGTATTTATAATTTTTATGTACATTCTGATCACACTTAAAGAGAGGTGGGATGTTTAAAAATCTTAAGAACTATTCCATTTAATAGTCAATTCTTACTTCATTTTCTATGAATTTACTTGATATTTTTTAAATCAAATAGTCATTTATAAAAGGGATGTAAATTATTTGTGTGAGATTTGTATCAGCCTTTCAAACAAGAATTTTAGATTTAGACAGAACAAAACAAAATTTGATATACAAGGCAGTGCTGTGTTAACAACTAATTTCTAGGCATTGATAGATAATACACTAGACATTGTACTAGAAGCTTTTCAGAGACCATTTTTTGGGGCAGTTTTATGATGATGTGCTAGGCTTTTGTTAAGGGGATTTTTTTTTTAGAAAATACTTCATCTGATTATTGGTTGAATATAATATTTAGAAAATACTTCATCTGATTATTGGTAGAATATAATTTTTAGAAAATACTTCATCTGATTATTGGTAGAATATAATAAAGTAGAGGGTATTTAAAATAATATGTTTTACATTGTTACTTTTGTTCTGTCAATACAAAATACATTGTAAAATTTTATTGATTTATAAAGAGAGGCAATAAAATCATAATGTCTGATGTGATGATGTCAAATTATGTCTTTATTATCTAAAAAAATTTACAAATTCATGTAAATATTTATTTTATGCCTTTTTACATGATATTTGTATTCAGAAAGCACTTACGGATTAGCCAAGTATTATGAGCAGGTATAAATATACTAATTATCAGTATCTATATATGAGAATACTTTTTTTTTATATTATATTATTTGTAAGTTTGTCCATGCATGCACGGTACTTTGTCAATTATAGGTGGGCATGACAGTGATTATAGAATTACACAAAAAGATATAACTTGTACAGTTTAATATGACCATTTTAAGGTGAACAAATATAATATTTTCTATAAAAATGGGGGGAGGGGCTAATTAGACATACTCCCTATCCTTCATAATAATTTGACATCTACCCATAACCTATGAAATAGGTACACATATAGTAATGTTAAGTATGGATATATCTGCACAAGCTATATTTTTTTTATATTTTTCTTATTGCTAAAACCATTCCATAACTTGAGTGTTAATTTATCTTAAAACTTGTATAGGAATGAATGATAAAATTGTATACCTGTGTAAATTACTGTTCAGTGTTTTAGTATGGTGAGCTAAAATGGTCTATAAAAAAACAGGTGAATCGCTTGAATATCCACAAGTAGTTTTGAATTTTTCGCTAAAATGTCTGCGTCTATTTATAAATAGAAACATCAGCAATGATATTTTTTTTTAAATTGAATGAAAATATTTAATTTATATGAAATCCCATATCTTGTTTGTGCTCACAAGCATTTGTTACATACATGTGTTATGTAGTAAATTGCAAAATATGTGTAAAACAGATTATTACTGTTCAGACAGTTTATTGCCTTTCATTTGTTTTTACGTGCTTTGATTGATTGATTAATTGATTGGTGTTTAATGCCACTTTCAGCACTATTGGGCTATTTGGTGGCTTCAGTTTTTATTGGTGGAGGAAGCCAGAGTGCCCAGAGAGAACCACCAACCTTCAAACTTGCTTTGAAGTTGAAATTATCCAAAACAAGACACTATATTGATCCCTATGTTTGTTTAGGTTGTTTATCATTTTTATGTAATGCTCAAGTAGACTAGATTTTTTTTATAATCATAATCAGACTATTATCCTGCACAGTGTGGTGCTTTGTGTTGTTTATTGCAATATGTATATGAGTGTATGTTAAATGTTTATTAAATGTATGTTAAAAAGAGAGCATTGTTATTTAAACATTCATTATGTTTGATACAGATAAGAAGTTGTTATTCATCAAGTCATATTGTTTAATACCAGTAATAACTTTTAAAACAAATATTTTAACCAGTATGAAGCTACATTTCATTCCAGTTAGTTAGACATATTTTGTTTTTCATCCCAAACAATGCATTTTTTGTGATACATTTTTTGCCCTGGTTGTCTTTTAAGAAAGAAAAAAAGATAAACTATAACAAATCTATCACAGCAAATGGAATATTTGGAAGGAAAGAGTATTTCGACTGGATAAAATAGCTTCATTTCTGCTTTAACAGAGCACTGCAAAGAGTTATAAATTAATGTGTCTTCATATAAATATACAATGGAGAGCAAACTGAGATCTGTAAAATTATAGATATAGATTAATTTTACATCAGTTTAATATGAAAACATGACAAAAATGGTAAAACATTTCTTTGAAATCCTAAACAAAATTTATAGTATAAATCATGCTAAATACTGTTGCAATTTACAAAATAATGCAATGGCAGAGATAATTGATTCAACTACTTTTTAAACTTTTTAATTGCCAGTCTTTGTAAGAATCAGGCAATTTAGAAGAATGTCAAAACAGTGCAGAAAAAAACCACCAACCTAACCATCTTATTTTGAAGTTACCCTCATCCTGAGTTAGAAATGGTAGGTCTTTTGTTTCTGCGTGTTTGGTCATTTGAGAAATCTCTAGATAACTTTTGGTTTAGAATGATAGTAAATTACAAAGTTGGCTCCCCCTTAATTGTTAATTTCTTGTGTATTTCAACCAAATTATATCTTGAAATACCAGAACAGGAAAAGTAAACGAATGTTATATTCATGCACCATTATACATTTTGAACATAAATAAATGTAAACTTGAGTGGGTTTGTGTTTGTCATGTTTTCACCATTACCTGATTCTTAGGCAGATTGGCACCTAAACAAAACCAATTACTGGTAGCTATATTTATTTCCATTGATAATTTTTTTACCATAGTGTAAAAAATCTGTTAACTTTGAAAAAAGATTTTCTATTTTACACCAGTATAAAAGATTGACATTTTATAGAAGATAGCGGAGTTTATAGATATAAAAGTGCTGTTATGTTGAAAATTAAAATTTAAGTGTTACTAGAGTTGAAAATATTATGAGAAACAAAACATTGCCTATATGATTGCTAACCACATTATTTTACATACTATCTATAGTGTCAGGTACTAGTGTATAAAATCATTCTTTCTAATAAAACCAATATACTTATGTTTTTGTATATAATATATAATGCCAGTATAATTATGATTTTATGGTTATTTCTTTTGGATATTTTGGTTTGCTTGATTGGTCTTCATTTATTTTAGGGAACCCAGTCTATATAGGGCTTTACTAAACTATCCCTTATTCTAAACCTAACCCATACCCAACCTAATCCTAACCCTTTCCCTGTCCCTTTATCATAACCCTAACTCTATATTTAAATTGAATCCTAACCCTGAAGTACAGAGGGAAATTGAATGAGGAATGTCAATGAGTAAAGCAAGAGTTAGTTTTATGTTTTTTTGTTACCTGTAAGTTTTTATCAAAGTACATATCACTGATACTGGAGTAGACCCTTATCTGGCAAGCTAGATGTCAGTTATACATTTATTGTGTTGACTTGGCAAAAAGGAAGACTTATGTATGTTAGTTTCCACCGGCAGTCAACAATTTGTTTAAGTTTGTGATTAGGTCAGTTTAAGGGGAACCACTTATATTTGGTATGCAGTTGTATAAGAATTGGCACATAATCGTATTTCCATGTAAACTATTTTGGTCCTGCCAGCTCAGTCATGGTTTATTGCCTTTGAAACTTATGCATTGGTCACATGTTAAAGTTTGTGATTAGGTCAGTTTAAGGGGAACCACTAATGATAAGTCAATTATATTTGGTATGCAGTTGTTTAAGCATTGGCACATCTCTTTTCAATGGAGATTATTTGGCCCTTCTCCCTCAGTCATGGTCTATTTACTGAAATTTTGCATAAATTACGTATTAAAAGGTTGTGATTAGGTTAGTTTAAGGGGAACCCCCTTTGAGAGGTCAATGATATTAAGTATACAGTTGTATAAGCATTAACACATCTCATTTCTATGGAAATTAGTTGGCCCTGCCCCTTTTGCATAGTTTACAGGTTAAAAGTTTGTAATTAGGTTAATTTATTTATGGGGAACAAGTTATGGAGACCATTTCTTACAGAAACTTTAAAAAATTTAATGAGACAAATTTTTTAAGTGACTTATCTGTTGCACCTTTTGATAAAATTGAACATGAAAGTCACCCAAATACATGTATTCAAATGTGGTATGACATATTCAATGGAGTTCTAGACAAACATGCACCTATTGTTACTAAAAGAGTAAAAAGAGATAGACAACCTGAATGGTTCACAAATGAAATTATATATGCCAGGAAAATGAGAGAGAAATACCATAAACTAAGAATGTGGTCCGAGTTCAAATTTTGGAGAAACAGGACAAAACACATAATTGATGAGTCTAAAAGAAATTTTTATTCAAAGATGGTAAAATATTCAAAAGCATCAAAAGATTTGTGGAAATGTATTCACAGTCTAAACCCATCCCAACAAGAAAAAACATATGAGCTTTTAAATGAAGATGGTGTTACAGTGCTCCAGCTAGAAATCAAAAGGGGCAGGGTGCCAGTGGAGGGCAGGGCACTTTTTTATGAAAGGAAAAGGCACTGCTCATTTCTTTTGTCTACGTTTCTATGTGTATCACGAGTTCACATTCTTTTTTTTACTGTATATGTTGTTAATAAAGATGCATAAGTTGTTGTTTTGATTATTTATTCTATAAAATTCTAACAATGTTAGAACTAAAAATGTCAGTGACATTTGTAATGTTTTTAATAAGTTCTTTACGTCATGTATTGAAAACCTTAGAACTGATAGATGTATGAGCAATAATCATGATTATGCAAGATTAACTAAATTTGTACAAAAGAAATTTACTAAGTTTAAACAAGTAAAATTCTCAATTCCACCAGTCACAATAAATAATCTACTTAATGAGATTATCAAACTTGACATTAATAAATCCACTGGATCTGATAACATAGGACCAAAATTTTTAAAATTTAGTGCTCCTTTCATAACTTCATCTTTAACTTACATTTTTAACAGAATAATAGATACAAGTACCTTGCCCACTGTTCTAAAGAATGCAAGAGTAACTCCTGTTTTTAAAGCTGGGGAAAATTCATGGCAACAAATTATAGACCAATTTCTATACATGCTGTTATATCAAAACTTTTAGAAAAGCATGTTTCAAAACATTTGTATGACTATCTAAAAAGATTTAATCTTTTACCTAGCACAGTCTGGGTTTAGACAAGAACACTCTTGCCAAACTGCCCTGTTCTTCCCAGTCCTGTTGGATTTTAAGAAAGCCTTTGATGTAGTAGATCATGATATTCTCTGTAAAAATTTATGGATTTGATAATGCTGCTGTTTCTTTTTTCAAATCCTATTTGAATGCAAGAACTCAACAAGTACAAATTGGTAATGCTCATTTTGAAAAACTTTATATCAAGTATGGTGTCCCCCAAGGCTCCATATTGGGGCCCCTTCTGTTTATTTTATAATAAATGACCTTCCTATCTATATGAAAAATTGTTGCACTGATTTATATGCTGATGATTCAACTTTACATCTTTTTAGTAGTTGTTATCAAACTCTACAGTCAAAGGTACAAGAAGATTTGCATGGTGTTGAGGAATGTAGTAATGATAACAATATGTTCATCAATAAAAATAAAACAAAATATATGATTATTGGAACAAAGCAAAAAGCAATGCCACATTACAGTGAAAGTTGTTTAACTATTAATAATCAAGTAATACAAACTTCCACATGCAAAAGTCTCTTAGGCATTAATATTGACCCTTCCCTCACATGGACAAACCAAATTGATTTGATCTGCTCAAAAATTTCATCTAGGCTATATCTACTTTTAAAGATAAAGAAATTTCTAAATCTAGACTGCAGAAAATTATTCTATGATGGTTATATCTTACCACTAATTGATTATTGTTGTATAGTGTGGAATAGTTGTAGCAGTGAGGGTTTAAATAGGATATTAAAATTACAAAAGAGAGCAGCTAGAATAATACTAGAAACAGACCCTTTCACTCCTTCTTAGTCCTTATTCAAACACTTAAACTGGATGACAGTTGAAAAGAGAATAAAATATCACAAGTTTGTGATGACATCTAAGTGCATCAAAAATGATGCCCCATCATATCTTGCTAGCAAGTTTCATTATGTTTCAGATAGAAATCCATACCCCTTGAGAAATGCTGTTCAAGGAAACCTCATACTCCCTAAACCAAAAATAGAATTGTTCTAGAAATCTTTTATGTATTCTGGACCATTCTTGTGGAACAATTTGTCAATATCATTACAAAATATTACAAATGTTAACTCTTTCAAATACAAAATAACATCATTTATTAAAATCAACCAGTTGAAAAAATATTGAATATTAATTATTTTATCATGTTTTTTTTTTCATAACATTTTTTTTGCAGTTGTGTTGAACATTATCATTATACTTGACTTTCATACTAATGTATGCCTTGTACTATATGTTTGCATTTTCTGTTTATGCTTTTTCTGTGATGAGGGCCTCGGGGAAGATTAGTTATATAGCTAACTGTGTAACCCTCTTAAAATAAAGTATTGTTGTTGTTGTTGTTGATAAGTCAATGATATTTAGTATGCAGTTGTATTACCATTGGTATATCTTATTTCCAAGGAAATTATTCAGCCCTGTGTCTTTAGTAATGGTTTATTGACCTTTAAAATGTTGCACTGTTTACATGTCCAAAGTATAACTATTATAAGATTTTATACATTTTTTTAATGTGAATAGAGCGAGATCAGCTTATTCTAAAATTTATGTGATTAAGCTTGCATTTGACATGTATTGTCATCACAACTTGGACAAATGAAAAAAAAAGTGTTTCTTTTTCATCAACAGTGCCATTTTCAACATCTAATGTTAAGTTATTTGAGAAGGTACAACTCAGACAAAGGACTGATGATAAAGCTTTGCTATTTGGTATACATTTGGATAAGCTTCCCTGCTGTTTTTCAGACTTAATCTTTTGAACCATAAACACTATTTTTACCAAACTCGGTTTGATAATGTCCAAATAGCGTGAATAAGTGCCCTGTCGATTTTGAGGTAACTATTTTTTTTTTTCTTTTCTTAAATTATTGGTAGACTGAATTTTGGCAAAAGTTTGGTTGCCAGATTTTATCTTTTTGACCATATGTCAAACCTTTCCAAACTTTGTTCGATAATAGCCTACAAGGTGAAGAAGACACCTATTTGTCTTCAGGTCAGTAGGTTAAAGGTCAAGGTCACAGTTCATTTAAATGAATTACAACTTGGAAATGTTTTATTTCTGGACATTATCTTTTGAGCCACCTATCACATTCTAACAAAACTTGATTTGATAATGTCCCATGGGGTGATGCAGACCCTCTTTGATTTTGAGGTCATTAGTCCAATGGTCAAGGTTATGTCCAGAATTGGTGGACTGAAGTTGGACTACATTCAATTTCGAGAATAATTATTTCTGGACAATATCTTTTGAGCTAATAAGATTTTTAACAAATGTTTGATAATGCCACATGTGTTGTAAAATATACCCTTTTGATTTTTAGGTCATTGAGTCAAAAGGTCAAGTCACAGCAACAAATAAATGACAAAACCTAGGATAATTTTTGGTTTGGGGGAAACGTCGGATACCTTTTTTAAAATATTGGTATTGTTTTGTTGACTGACAAAAAATCTTTCTTCTATTACAAATCCATGAACATCGCAGCTTGGCTTATAAAATTCGAACTGCCATTATCACATCATCATGAAAGAAAGGTCAGAAATACATACCCAAAGAATAAAGGCCAAAACTATGTTCATGCATCTGTTGAGAAAAAAAATCTCAGGTGAAATATCAGGCAGAGTGAAATAAAGGTGGAAGATACCAAAGGGATAGTCAAATTCATAAGTCGAAAACGAACTGACAATGCCATGGCAAAAAAAAACCCGAAAAAACGATCTAAAGAAAAACAACAGTCTACAAAACACTATTAAGAAAACTAAAGACAACACGAGTCCCGCCAAAAACCTTGGAAGGTTGAGCAGATCCTGTTCCACATGTGGTATCCATCGTATTGCCCATGTAAGTGCAAACC